CTTGTGACTTGCCTCTTGACGCGTTGTGACGCGCCACTTGATGCGTTGTGACGGACCACTTGACGCGTTGTGACGCGCCTCTTGACGCGTTTTGACGCGCCTCTTGACGCGTTGTGACGCGCCACTTGACACGTTGTGACGGACCACTTCACGCCTTGTGACTTGCCTCTTGAGGTGTTGTGACGCGCCACTTGACGCCTTGTGACTTGCCTCTTGAGGCATTGTGACGCGCCCCTTGACGCGTTGTGACGCGCCACTTGACGCCTTGTGACTTGCCTCTTGAGGCGTTGTGACGCGCCTCTTGACGCGTTGTGACGCGCCTCTTGACGCCTTGTGACTTGCCTCTTGAGGCGTTGTGACGCACCTCTTGACGCGTTTTGACGCGCCTCTTGATGCGTTGTGACGCGCCACTTGACACGTTGTGACGGACCACTTGACGCATTGTGACGCGCCTCTTGACGCGTTGTGACGCGCCACTTGACACGTTGTGACGCGCCTCTTGACGCGTTGTGACGCGCCACTTGACACGAAACCGCCACTGGCTGAGAGTGCTCCGTTAAAGCGACATGCTGTCCCAGAAAGGTGGTCTCAAGATGTGGCTTTGGAGGAAAACAACTGGGAACTTTTTTTTATATTTCAACAAGCCGCAATCTTACCAACACTTGCATGGAGTGCCTTATAAAATTGGCCCCTCGTGGATTTGTTTGAACAGGCATTGTGAATTTATAATGAAACCGTACAATATCTTGTGATGCAGTGGCCCCTTTCTTCCGTTCTGCATTTATCACCTTTAAAAAAAAAATAAACAATGCCTTCAGCAGCATCCTGTGTTTCTGACAAAGGACACGCTGCTCTAATTGCACATTACATTGTTGCGATGTGTGTGGAGTGGCCACCAGGCGCCCCGTTTCGAGCGTTACATTTTGCCGACTTTTGAGCACCATCAGTGCACTGGCCATGAATTGTAAAACACTTCAATTGACACGTGCAAGTTTGTACGCGAGGCAGTGTTTCCGTAGTGCCATGCAAAGGGCGTCTCAATTTAAAGATTAATAAAAAAATAAAAAAGGACTCTGCTATAAATATTTATATCCAAGCACATCACCAATGCAGTGCGTGTTTTCCCTGGTGTTTGTGTAATTGACTATTTTCATTATGTCACACTTAAGGAGTATTGCATAGACGTTGGGTATATTATTCACATACGCACATACCAATTATCTTGCCGCCCCTGCTCACCCTATATATATTTATTTGTAGTTGAACAAGATTAAAATGTCATCTCCTGAACGGATGAAGAGAAAATATAAAATATTGAGCGACGGGACTGTGGTTAGCATGCCGTGCTGCGAACCCAGTGACCCAAGTTTGATTCCTGGTGACGGCTAACATCGGTGGAAAGGGACATCAGAACTGCCCCCCCGCTCCTGCTCCCACCCCTTGGAAGCCCTATGGAACAGAGTGGTGAAGTATGGTACACAATGCTCATGATCCACATGGCTTTGGTGGGGGGGGGGGGGGAGGAGGGCCTTTATCTGACGGCGGATTGAGACTGGCTTTTATTTTTGTTTGTTTAATACCTGGGCATGATCACCTGCCGGACAGTTGCAGTAGTATAGACCGAGCAGCTCGCAAATCGGAAGGCTGCGAGTTCAAATCCTTGCCGCCATGAGGTGGCTCGTCACATCATCCCTTTGGGGTGGGGGGTGGTCAATAAAATGAGCAGCGTTTTTGGGCGAAGTCAACAGTAGGTCGTCCTATGTATAGACCCCCCCCCCCCCCCGCCATAGGAATGTGGAATTCACACACCACCGTGCTTAGGGCTGCAAACAGGGAGAGTGGGGGGGGGGGTGCTCGTTCACGCCATAAATAACAGAAATAACTCTTTGACTCGCTGGCCTGGACAGCGGAGGAGGCCGCCGCCGGGGGCGAGTGCAGTAAACGGATGTTTTCCAAGAAACCGCTTTCTTGGTGAGGCACACGGTGGGTCATCGAGATGCACGGTGGCGGCGCGACGGTCTGCCGCGCCGTCGCGACCGCTGCGAGGGACAGAGTCCACCCGGGCCCTGTAGGCAGGGGCAAGGTGTTGGAAGGCCAAGGTGTTTGTCAGAGGCGTTTATATTGCCGGGCCATTATTAGGACTCTGCGGGGAGTGTAAAGGGAAAGGTTGTTTGTGCGTTTTGCAGGGGGGATAGGGAAGGGGAGGGGGTGGCTGTTGTGTACACTGGACAAGAGACCCGCATGCCCCTCTTGGACACGTTTACCCATAGCGAGTGGGGAAATCATTCGGGCCAAGCAGAGGGCTAAATGCACTTGAACAATTTCCTTTGGTTGATCCGTCAATGGTGACATATCGTCCTGTGTGATCGGCATCGTGGGAGGCATGAGGGGGTGGGGTGGCTGGTCGTTGTTCTGCATGCGGTGGGGTTGATTGAGGGTGGCTTCGGGAGAGGACAAAAAAAACAATGTTAATGATTACCTGGTAAAGAGATCATTAGGGCCTCAAATTTCCACAAGATGTCAATCATTGTCGACGTTCGCAAACAGCAAAAAATACCAGAAATAACCAGGAACCCAGATGCCTTTCAGTATTCAAACCGACGTGAAAAAAATGCCACTTTTCCAATGCTGTGTTTTACAGATTCTAAAGAACATAGACATCCGTTTGTTGTTCTAATAATGAATTTGCTTATCTCTGCAACATTTTGTACAGAAGATTCTGTATTTTTCTATAGAGATACCAGTGGAAACTAAAAACAGCAGCTTATTCCCGATGTTTCATCAGGTTTTTTTTTCAGTTTTTCAGTTTATTTATTTTGGTCTAGCCCTGTGAGCCATCCGGCTCTTGAATCGGGTGCAACCGCAACAAACAAAAAAACAAAAACACGAACAAGAAAACATCTTAAAGTGACTATGTGTTATTACGTCCCGAGTCATTCACTCTGTTAAGAAAATCAAGTGGGCTTGAGCAGGTGGGCTTGAGCATGTGGGCTGGGGTATGACACTTCGCGAGCAGGCAAGGCAAAGCCCTGTGGTTAGTACTGACATCAGGGTGGCAAACAAAGGAGGGAACATAGCCATAGGGGCACGTCCGCAGTGGAGATGGAAGGAAGAAATCAGCTTCGTGTGCCGGTGGTAAATCGATTGTTACATCCAAGGACCGTGAGAGATGGGAATGGGTTGGGGAGGTTTTCAAACTGCAGTGGATTGATCATGTTTGACGACGATGACGATTCCTTCACAGTTGTGTTACTGGGAATAATATTTTTCTATCGATTTAATCGCTGCTCCTAGAGAGAGTCTGATTTTCCATTGTACACCTTCAACACGTCGTGCATAAGCACTTAGAGAACAGTTTTTGAGTGCGTGCGATTTGGTGGCTGTGTCGTGCAGCTGTAATAGCACACTGCGCTATGAAGCCGGCAACCCGAGTTCGATTCCTGGTTATGGCCAACACCAGTGACAATTATCTGAACCGGTCCTGAGCCTCCCCTAGGTCAACTCCGCCTCAAATGAGTATCTGGTATGGTGTATAAAATGTCAGCACTGGGGAGACAAAGGCGGCCGGGCTTAATGCTGGCCACACACCCCCTCGTGTGCCGTGTTAACCTTCATTGGTGCTCCCTAATAGCACTCGCCCCAAACAGTTTGTTAATGGTTATATGGGGCATCTTTGTCTTTGTGGTTATTTTTGCCACAGCATCTTCAGATGCTCCTCTATTTAAATGCTTTACAAAGGCACGTTTTGAAAAAAATGATCGTACCTATTTAATAAATGTTTTTTTGCAAAAATGGAATACCTCCATTGTGAAATGATGCCTAAATATTGAAGGCCAAACAGATTTTAGGAACTAATGGCCCATGAGCCTCATTATACATGTCTCACTAAAATAATGTACGTATGGTGCATACGAAGTTAAACATACACACATGCAAAACACTGAACAATGGACAATTTAGAGGCCAACCAACCTCAGCTACATTTTTCTTCCATTAACCACATAGTCAAATAATTCTCGAAAAGACAGACGAATATTGAGTACCGTTATGGCTGGGCTTCTATCGATGATGAAAAGGCATTTTATTCGGAGTGCTCAACCATAGGGATCGAGCAACGATATATTATCTTACATTCGTAGATCGCCTTCATTAACGGCGCTTAATAAAGTAAAAAAAGAAACGGTGAAAAAATAAAATGATTTCGATGGCAGGGGCATGCAAGGGTTTGACGAATGAGTGACCACGATAGAGGGGTGCATTGGGGTCACAAAAGGGTAGGGGAGGGAAGTGGTAGGGGACGGTGAGGGGAGGGAAGGGGAAAATAATGGAGTGCTCAACCGTGGAGATAGAGCAACGAGATCAGGCTCACGTGCAGGAATAAGATGGATCGTGGCATCGCGAGACCGTGCGTTGCAGGATTGCAGCGACATACTAATACTATTTTACTGATACATTATTTTTTATTTTACCAGGTAAGGCCCACGGAGCTATTTAGGGCATTTTTCAGAAGCGACCCGACCACAAATGATACCTCAACGCAGTGGCTTACTGTGTGGAAAATTCTAGCAGCAAATACTCTAAACGGATGTTTCTAAATGTGGAGATAAAAACCAGATGACCCGGAGAAATATGCTGTATAACTCCAAATATACAGCAGGCATCAGGGTCGGGATTGAACCCACGACCTCTAGTATACCAGGCGAGGTAGTTAACATCTTGCCACCATGGGGGGGAGGCCTTCTTTACATCCAGCAGTGGATCACCAGCATCATGGCCTGCAGTGAAAAAAATATTATTCGTGCTAAAAACGACACGTTTGTAAATTGCGTTTTGTGGAACTACACTTAAATAACGCGCACCGCGACGCCCCCCCCCCCCACATGTCAACTGGGCACGTAAGAGGACCTTACCTTGCGACTGTCTTTAGTGCGCCAACTTGGCCTCAGTGGCGCGACGTGCGACGTGCCCTAATGCCAACGTCTGCGAATCTCCCCTTGCAGGAGAGTCGAGCATGAACTCGGGGAACCTCGGATTGCTGGCCAGCTTCGAAAACTTCGGCCAGAGTGCCAGCAACATGACGTCGCCCTTCTCCATGCTGCCCCATCTGTCCGACCTGGTCAGCTACAGCATCCAGAAAGTCATCGGCTTTGCCAAGAGCATTCCCGGATTCAGGTTAGTTCTACATAATCACGAGCACATTTTCTATCTGCAAAGGCTATGAGGAAGGCTGTGTGTCTGGGAATGGGTTTGAAGAGGTCTTCGTACAGCAGTGGGTTGATTATTTCTGACGAGGATAATGATGATGATGATGATGATGATTTTTTCACAGTCGTGTTACTGGGAATAATATTTTTCTATCAATTGATTGCTGGTTCTAGAGAAAGTCTGGTTGTCGCTGTGCACGTCAACACATCATTAGTGTTTATGCACTGTCTTCAGTAGTAGGGGGCGATGTTGCTGTGTAATCCCCATTGAGTTGTGTTTTTCCATTTCGTACTGTGCTCACGCACGTTGATCTGAGCGCGTGACGCCGACGGCGCTATCCTAGCGGATTTAATCTTCCACCGCGGGGTATTGTTTTCATTTGGAATGTGCCAGATAAAAAAAATGCAAGTCCAATTGTGAACGTATCAGAATTGTTTGTAGGTTCGACCATTATGCTGGTGCCTTTGCGTCAAAAAATGTTTTATACGGACATCCCCCAATATATACGGAACAGATACGCTCACGAAAATTTTTCCCAAAAGCAAAATTCTGCATATCGAGTTGTTGTATAATGAGGGATGACTGACTGTATGTGAATCGATATCTGTTTTTCGATATACGATTTTTTTTAATGTGTTCTTCTGGAATGTGTACGTTTTGTGTTTGTGCACTATATATCCATTATCAGTACATGACTCGGGTTAAAGTAAAACTTTTGGAGGTACTGTTCCTATTTCAACAATTTATTAAGCAAACTTAAATGCAGCTAACGGTATGTGCGTATCTGCCTTGGCTTCATGACAACGTATAGCCCCGTTATGTACATATTTATTATTTTATTTTTGTGATAAAAGAGTTGCACAGTTTTCATACGAACAGCATTACGTAAATTATGTTATATAAATGCGAAGTGGTTTTGGAGGTGCATGTGCTGCTGTGGTGTGTTATGTGGCTTATCTTTCCCAGTAACCACGAGCAGAAGAAATTAACTCCTAAGATCCGTTCTCTAGCTCTCGCTCCCTCTCTCGCTCCCTCTCTCTGTCCATCTCCCATCCATTTTGATCTTTTTAAGAGGGTGTCTCAAAAATTCGAGTTTTTTCCCCCTAATGATTATTCAGTGAAACATTCACTTCCAGAAACGCATGTGCTCTCTCGCTACCAACAATTCATTTAAATTTTGGCAAAACGGATGGTACGTAATTGCAGGCTACAGCCCTTCATGCGACTACAACTTAGCATGATTTCCCCAACGACTGCCTCATGCATCACTGCCATGCTCCTTTTTTTTTCAAATAAACCTCTTACACTTCTACAGTTCATATCAATATTAAGCAGCGTGTCTATCCTCCCTCCCGAGAGAGTGGGGGATGCCATAACGGCTGGAGTGAGAAAACTGTTTCATACAAATTAAATCGGGGCAAAGCAGAGTTGAGCCTGTTGACGGCGCTCGGTTGAGTGACCAGCATTGCGCAAACACACGGGCTGAGTAGGCATCGTGGGCAGCAGACAGAAGGCAGTGCAGCAACATCCACTGTCGTTTTCGGAGAGCCGAACCGAACTGCGAAGCGGAACTGAAAAACCGCAAACCGATAACCGAACGCAAGTCAAAGTCGTTTATTCCTCCGGAGCGGTCCGCAACGTGCGGCCAGGAGCGTTGCACCGCGCGCTCCATCGGTGGGGCACAATGCTCTGGACCCTCCGCCCGGAGCTCTATTCACAGTGCCAGAGGGAGTCCCTTCATCCTCGGCGCCCGTTTTTTTTTTCCGACACGCGGCAAGAGAGGGGGCGAGAGCACAAGCGGTGCCGTGCATCACGAGTTAGGTCCGCGGTGGAGGGAAAGCTAATCTGCACGTCCCACACACACACACGCAGATGTTTTTTCTCTCTCTCTCTATTCCCCATCGTGGCCGTAGAGCTTTCCGTGGAGGCAAGATTGTCTGGGTAAATAATAGCAGCTATAAGATCGCGCCAAAAACACCTTTTTTTAATTCTGGGTAGCATGAAATGAAAGAAACAGCGGGGAAGCTTGTTTACCGAGACAGAGGGGCTTGCAGTTTGTGACCTTGCTGTCTGCATGGCAGTGCAGCCTGTCTGTGTGCACAGTGCCTAACATCCATGCCCTCTGCCGCTCTCTGCCCTTTTAAAACACTTTTCTCGCGTGCATTAATTTGCCTTAAAAATTCCGCAAAACTCGCACGGGGCACAGACTTCTCCAAGCGAGAGCCAAAGTCAAGGTGACTTAACTGCTCGAATGAGCGTAGCGAGACGTCTGCGCTCAATCCGTTTAGATTCCCGAGCTATTTGACAGACCGAGTCGACTCCCAACCCAGATTCGAACTCGCAACCTTCCGATCGCGGAAGCGGTGGGGGGTCACGGGGTCGTTTGCTCTCCTGCTGAAGTCACCCGGCCGTATCGAAATTGAAGAGCAAGAGCTGCTTCCTCATTCAGGCGTAAGCTTGATTTAACAAAAAAAAGGCAAAAGCACCGCCTAGGCCAAGGGGATCTGTGTAACGTCATACCCGGGGGAGAGAGAGAAAGAGAGAGGGGGAGGGAGAGCAATCCCCGTTTTGCATTCGTTCTCGGAAAACCTCGGGGATGTCTTTAAAATTTGCCGCGCGTTGGTTTCGACTGAGTTGAATGTGCAGCAGCTATGCCGGCATTTGTCAGAACAGTGGGATAATGGTTGCCGGGCGTGGCGTCCCGTGCCCTACCCTGTCCATAGCCTTGTCCTGGGCTGACCTCATTTGAATGCTCACTAAAAACAGAATCAGCCAAGCCATCGCCTGCAGCAGCAGCAGCAGCAACAACAATAATATGTAAGATTTAAAAAACTTTTTTTTTACAAACCGTGCGTTGCAAGCCAGACGTTATCTCGTACAGTGAACGTGGTGTATGTGTCGTGGGAAATGTAGGCGAGACAAGTGAGCTGCTGTCTCGTGCAGAGTGCACTTGAGGTTATGTTATTGCGATGCTATCGAACGTTACTGGGCATGTGGCATCATTTTTATCCGTCCGAGGGAATTCACAAAACTCGGACGGGACTAAATTAGGCGGGGCGCTGTACAAAAAGCATGACTGATGATGGTGCAGTGACCACGATTTCACCTCACAGAAAAGTTAGAACAGTGATACATCGTATAAATACGGTATTATATATCTATTTAAAACATAATCAATTTGCCATTGGCACTAAGTACCGAAAGTCATGTTTTGGACGATTCTAGCTGCACGGTGTGTGAGGCGAGTGTTGTGGGCCCATCTGGGTCACTCCAGTGCTACTTCTGGGGTCACATTGAAGGCCTCGTGTTTTAAAAGGACATTCCCCTCCCCCCCACTGCCTCCGCCCGCCCTCCACTTTGAATTGGCGCTAGCTCGCACTGTTGCAATTCCTCTGCAGCAGTGTGTAGAGTGTACGTTTCCATCTTAATTGGCACAGATGCAGAAATTCAGACAACTGCTGCCCTTTAATTGCATGGCACGGGCGTGTGCGAGTGCGTGACACGTTGTGGGGAGCGGTGGTGTAGCGGTCAGCGCTACGCTGCGCTACGAACCCGGCAACCCAAGTTCGATTCCTGCTCACGGCCAACACCAGTGACGATTATCTGAATCGGTCCTGGGCCTCCCCTAGGTCGACTCGGCCTCAAATGAGTATCTGGTGCGGTGTGTCAATATCACACCACTCAGGAGACAAAGGCAGTCGGACGTGGTGCTGGCCACCCACCCCCTCGTGTAACGTGCCGGGCCTTCATAGGTTCTGCTCGCTAACAGCACTTGCCCCAACAGTCTGAACGCTATACAAGGCGGTCGTTGTCTTATCAAGTTTACCAGGACAACGCTCAATTATCATAATGCTTGGGTCACCACCTCTCTACCGAGCATTGTGATAGCCACCTCTCTAGAGGGGCCCCTGATCGAAGTGTCTGTGATGCAATGGTTGTCACCGGTGAAAACAACCCCCTACCTCCTCGCGGTGCCAGACGGGCAACTCTGTCGTGGACAGTGCTGTGGGGGGAGGTCCAATTCCGATTGGCTCCTGCCCTCATGGCGTCTGTGTCCACAGTGGCTAAACGGGGGCTCTGGACGGGTGCGAGGGGCTGGTAACCCCTCCACCTTCAATTAATTACCACTAAACTACGAATGAAATATGTAACTAATTAGCTTGTGCCGGAGGCCCCGGGGGGACAGGCGTCAATGATGTCTCCTGGCTAAACCCCAATTGGCGGAGCCAGGAGATTGAATCTCTACCCTCGGGGCTCCTCCAGAAACAACGAAAAGCCACTACGGATGGTCACGTGGAATGTTCGAATGCTCCCTGCGGAGGAGAGGCTGCCACTCCTCTGTCGGGAGCTGGACCGGTACCGCCTGGATCTCTGTGGCATTCAGGAGGTCCGGTGGACCGGTTCTGGCTTTTGCCACCATGAGGGGTGGACAGTCCTCTACTCAGGGCAGCAGACTGCCAAACAACAGGGTGTGGCTCTTCTTTTGAACAAAAGAATGAAGGGGGCGTGGGAGCGTGGCGGTGAGGTGTGGGAAGCTGTAAGCCCCAGGGTACTTTGGGCTCGCCTTCCCATCAACCGGAGGCGAGGAATGGTGGTCGTGGTTACTTATGCCCCCACCGAAGATGAACATCCATGGAGGGATGCAGGCAAAGCCGATGAGTCAGATGCCTTCTATGACCTCCTGTCACAGGTGCTGGCTAAAGTGGCCCCTCGGATAGAGTCATCTTGTTGGGTGACTTCAATGCCCGAGTTGGTCATGATGCTGGCACCTGGTCTGGAGTGATTGGAGGGCATGGGCCAGATCAGCTCAATAACAACAGTAGGAGGCTGCTAGATTTTTGTGCAGCCCATGGGCTTGTAATTACCAACACGCTGTTCCGACATCGGCGCATCCACACAACATTATGGATGCATGCCGAGTCCAAGCAAGAATATCTGCTGGACTACATAGTGACGGACCAGCGGAT